ATACGCCACGTGTGCGCTGAGAAGTGATTTAAGTTAATATTCAACATTTAGAGGTTTCGTTCTGCTTATGTGGTAATTTTCTGAACCACATTGCGTATGCGTAACATGAGCAATCAAATAAATGAAAAGCTAGTCAGGATATGTGTATGTATTTGCCCAGCGGGCGCTTACTGTATAAACAAAAATTTGGATTGATTTTTGAATTTGCAGCACGATGGAAAAATGTGATTTATTGATAGTTAAAATATTCAATTGTTATTGAATTTTATTTCGAGATGTATTTCAAATAAGCAAAAAAGGAAAACACAAATATTTAATTCATTTATATTTAGTGGTATAACAAGGCAAAAAAGATATGCCGGAAATATCTATGCCTCTAGTTTCTGGAATCTTAGACCTAAATTGAATTCATTTACGCTGTGAATGGCTATTCCGTTTATACTTATCTATTTTAATGAGAATACTTATCCGAGTCTTTGTGAAATTGCAAATCGTTTTTGCCATAGACGCACTTCAGTTTCAATAGAAATCCCTTTTTGTCTTGCCAAGTAAGCTTAAGTTGAGCCAAAAACCGTTCTCGCAAATGTTTGAGGAGGGGGAAAAGTTTTATGATTTACTGCACTGGCCAAACTTGTCTAATATAGACAACTTGAAACTCAATTATTTTAATTGCAAATATTTACGTACGTATAAGTGGCGAGCAGACCAATCCAAGGGAAACTTGCATAAACTTTTGCAACAAAGACAAATATGGTTAGGCGAAGAAACTAGAGCTTGCAAAGTGTTTAATTAAAACATCATAGCACAAAACCAAAAAAAAAAAACTTGAAAAGCCCAAAATGGAAAAGTTTTCCCAAATATAAATAAGAAAAAAAACTTGTGCAGGAAAATTGCTCAAAATATTTTTCACTTGAATTTTTTTCGGTTTTTCTTTTTTTTTTTTTGCTTTTATTTTTATTGAATTTCGTGAGAAAAATAACAATTTGCACAATCATGACAAAATATAGCACATGTGTAGAAAAAGAAAGTGTTACGGAGAAGAGGAAGAGGAAGAGGAAGAGCAAGAGCAAGAGCAAGAAGTAGTGGATGCAATTGCAACTTGAGCCAAGTTGTAGCCTCTCGTGGCACGTGATTTTGCTGTTGCTGTGGCTGCTGTGGCGCCGTTG